GAGATGTTGCCCAAATGGAAAAATGAAGAATTTGATCAAGGTTGTAGTATAAGCAGCAAACTGAATGAGATCCACATGTAGTAGTCACTGTTACCAGCCTCTGGATAGCTGGAAATTCCAGAAAAATTGCCCTAAGATATAGACAGCGCTTTCAGTCATAAGATCTGATTTTTGGGTGATCCTTTGCAGAGCTGGGATTTGAATTTGATGATCCTTATGGGTGTCTTCCGACTTGGGATATCCTATAATTCTATGTGCAAGTGGTTGATCTGTGAAACTGAGCACAGTGCCTTCGGTTTACCTGGTTTTACTGGACGCATGGAGATCGCCTGCAATAGTGGCAGGTCCATTGGGCTCATCAGCCAGCAAATAACCAAGAGGCTGCTTGGCTGAGCATAGGGAACAGTAGATGTGAATTATACAAACCAAAAATGGATTGTTGGAGCTTTTCTTTTGAGTCAGGATTGTGTAGGGCAGGAATACTCAGTTTGGGAGCTTCCAGAAAAGAGTGTGTTCTATTGATTGTCCCAGTGAAGTCCCCAAGCTCAGCCAGATTTTCGCCTTTATGCAAGAAATGAATTTCATTGCATTTTGGTCATGGATTGAAACAAATGACTTTGGGATACTCATTTATATTTGAATGTTATGTGAAAATACTTCTTAAAATGCTGAAATTCTCACCTGAAACAGGGAATAGAATCAGTCCTCTCATTGATTCACAGAAGCGTAAAAGAGTTGAATTAGCGAGCGTTGCATTTGTGACCACTCTGGTCCTCCTATTAATAGAAGTTACCTGTAGATGCGTAGATTGGGACATGACATACTTTCCAGGGTTAGCAAAGAGGTGCACACGAGTCCTGAGGCTTGATCCTCCCTGGGAAGTGAGTGAGGTCCAGAAAGGTTCAGCACTGCTGTCCCAGCCATCGCATCAGTTGAGTTGTTAATATTGTGGACTTTCCTTTTATTCTGTGAGTATTCTGGGAGTCTTGAAGCTTATTCCTTTGCTGCATTTTGTCATAAGCTAAGGTGAAAAACCAAAACGTGGCCAATCGTTTACTGAAAAACAAGAAAAGCTAAGCTGATAAGCTGCTGCAGGAAACCATGGAAGATAAACTCTTGCATGTGTTAGATAAAAAGAAGGAAAAATACAAATAAAATCGGCTAAGGCAGCAATTGTAGCTAATAAAATAATGGATATGGATCATTATTAATACAGTATCTACTGGTGTCATCATTTTATCACTTCCCCAAATATTACAGGGTTTTGAAATTGCGTAGAAACTTTTGAATTAAAACAAAACCAAAAAACCCATCAAAACAAAAAGATCCTCAAAGAAGTGAGGATCCCTCTGTTTTCTCCTTTTTAGCTGCTATCCTTCAGAATGTATTTTTGGGCAATTCCTTAGGGTAGGACCAAAGTCAGAAAATGCAGTGACAGGTTGAATTAATTCTATACATACTTAGTTAAATTATCCAACCTCCAGTGTTGGCAGTTGTATTTCAAGTGAATGTTTACAAGCATTTACTGTGGAAGTAAGTAAATCTCTCATCATGTCTTAGAGAAAGGTTATTTTAAATACTGATCCAAGTATTTGAATGCTTACTTAAATTTGGGTTCAAAATAAAATTCCTTTGTTTGTGTTGGTGTGCAAATTGTCATGGATGAGATGTTTACTTATCATGTTATTTTACTACATATCTTTTCCTAGTGTGTAGCTGGATGGAGATGGAGGTCCTTGCTAAGCACAAGAGGGGAAGTTTGAACTTCAGCTACGTGCTACGCTACTTGATTGTGTTTTTGCATTACAGCAGGCAGCCTCAATAAGTCATTTACTTTTAGGGATTGTTGTATCACAGAATCAAATACTGTGGTACTGCCCTGGTCGTAATTCTTTTTTTTAATTGCCTAGAGGAGAAATTGGCTCCTAGGTCAATTTCAATTGAAACTGATGTTTGTTGCATGGTTCCAAATAGGGTTCCTTGCAACCCTTTGCCCGTTCTCTGGCTTTCTTTCAGATTTGCCAATCACACTTGTCTACAAGTAAGAGATTCCAAAATATGTAACTCCTTCAGGAATATCTGTGCATTTACTTTTCTTCGTGTAAGATCTGTAAAATTATGACACACACACTTCTTTCCCCTAAGCAAGCACCAACTCACCCCATCCTCCCACACGCATAAGCTTATTTTGACACCTTTCTGTTTGTGTAAGGTAGATAGCACACAAATTCCCTAATTTCACTTTTGATTTTGATTACCTTTTCACTAATTTTTAGAACTCATTAAATCCGGAGCGACTGACCTGCAAGGTATTTTGTGTAAGTGCCAGCAGCTTGGATGAATGGCTTTGACTTCCTACTATGCTGAGCTGCACTGATTCATTTGTTAGTTCTGCAAACTCTGGTAATATCAAGGCCTCTTTTATAACTCTGATGTTAAAACAGTTATGGTTGCCTCCATTATTGCATGTGATTAGTTACTGATATTAAGAAATAAACTGGTTTAATGGAGTGCAACTTCTACTTGTCTTAGCTGGGCACTGCAGAAGCAGCGCATTACTGAGGTGCAGTATAACAGGGAGTAATAGTGCAGAATGGTTATGTTCTTGGAAGGAGCTGTTTTTCTAGTTAGAAATACTGGTACATCACAGAGAGTTTAACTTTCCAGCAGAATTGAGCAGTTTATCAGAATTAAAACAAGTGAACCTTCCCACAAATTCAACCTCTATGCATAAGTCTCAAGAGCTTTCTGAAACTGAAAGGGACAGTTATTTTAAAGATTTGGGTTGAAAATACCTAATTCTGTTCATCTGCTCACTATTTTGGGTAATGTTTTCTGGGGTGCTGTGACAGCCCTCTGGTCTGTGCTTTATGTGTTTTCACTGCTACAAGTTTTTATACCTGCAGATATAGTAAATGCCTGTGTATAGATTTTATAGTTCTGGATAACTGCAAATTAATTGGGTCAAGTACATTCTTGATAGAACTCCATCCAAATTAGTGTGCTCTCACTGGATGGATATGAATATCACACTAGTTATTTAATCACCTCTATTGCCACACAGGATTTTATGAGTCTTGTAGAGAGCAATGAATAGCTTTTCCAGGCACACACAGTGAAGGCTGATAACTGAAGACAGGTTGGAAAACAGAATGCTGAAACTGGAGCGCTGAAACAGGTAAAAGAGCTGGTAACAAGGAGGAGCACTGGAGATACAGATAATATTTTGTTAGTAGTAGTTTGATGTCTACCTTTTTGTCCTCTATAGGAGTATCCTAAGAGGGGAAATGCAGCATACTGCAAAAATTTGAGTCAGCATTGTGAATCGGTTCAGGCAGTGCTGCTGCTGGTTCTGATTCAGTCAGAAAAGGCAGAAAAGGCAGAAAAGGCAGAAAAGCAGGATGCAAGGAACCTAATTCTTTTCCTTAGGAAACTAAGGAAACGAATCCTTCTTTTTCTTCTGTTGTCCCTTTCTTCAGTTCTAAGAAAAAAAGCTGTGATGATGGTACAGAAATAAATCTGTTTTGAAAAGAGGAAGAAATTGTACACATGGTTAAGGATGCTGATAACAGCATCTGATCCAAATAGAGCTTGATGAATCAAGCAGATTGTCTGCTGTCACAGGCAGATTCTGTGCTGCCTATGGCTTTTTGTACTTTACCACAAAAGGAGTAATGTAATATATTCCTGAAGAACTTTGTATGGGGAATATGAATGTTCTACTTCTGCTTCTGAACATCTAACTCAGCATACTTGGATAACTAACAAAAATAAACATTTTTTGAAGAGCAATGCTAGGATTTGGAAGAAAACTTTCCGGTGAGCAGATTATCCCATCGTTGTCTGCTCAGAAACATCTTCCCTGAAAAGTAGCTGTAAGGTCTTGTCTTGCAGAGCAGCTCCTGTGCTACCTTACATTAATGGTCTGACTCATCAGTCTTAGGTCTAGGAATTCCTTGCCATACTTCCATGTGCATTTTGTTGTGTGGTACATCCAAGTAGGCTAGATAAACACTTCTTGTTTCTTTTTAATGTGTTGTTTAACATTTATTATTCATTTTTAAAGACTTACTAAATAATTGTGCTGTACATCTAATTAGCTCAATGAACTCTCAAGGCTTAAATCTGGGAGTGGGGGGAATGAGCATTTGCAGGATGTATTGGCACCTTTTCTGCATTCATTCTGTGAAGTTACTGTAGTTTTCATGAAATAATATATGACGTAGGAACCCATCTGAATCTTCAGTGCTTAGTTATTTTAATTCTTTTCAGTCATCATGGAGTAAATACAAGAAAGGAAAATACAAATAATGCGTGACAGTACTTGTCACTTAGTTGTTCTATTCCTTTAAATGAAATGTCAGTATTGTGTGCAGGACAGAAATATTTGTTTGATGATTTGTTAATAATGCTTTCCTTTTTCCCAGCTGGATTCTGTCCTGCAGCAATACTAACAGCTGCAAAATGTTTCAGTGCAGAGTGTATTGAAGAATAAAAACAGAGGCAGTATGAAGAAATTTTAAGAATAAAGATTCATAAGGGAATAATTGCAACTTATTCTTACTGTGTTTTCAAACAGTTATCAACTGCTCTTTTTCTCTTAAAATTAGTCTTTCCTTATTATATCTCAACTTGTGTCTAATTTCTGCATTCACATGGTTTAATCCTAGGCTGTTAATGTAAGTGTATGATATTAAAGCCATCTGTATTAGCTGGAACTTCTCCGTATATTCAGGAGGGCTTCTGCAATTGAACGTGGTGATTTAAGATGCGAAAGAATTGAAGTTACTCAGGAAGACCAAGCATTTCAAAAGCAAAGCTGCTGTTTGGACTTAGCATGTTCTAAGGGCAAAAAGTATCTTTTATGAGGAGACTACGGAATTTGCTTTCTTTTTCAGCAGGTTTGTTACATCAGGAAAAGTGGATAATATTATGCAAAGCAGCTATCCTATTCTACTTATTCTGCTTACTGACACGAAAGAATTTTTGTTTCCTTTCAGATGCAGTTTCCACATCTGCTTACTCATCACCAGCCAAAAGTTTGGGAGACCCTGGAATCACTCCGCTGTCTCCGTCGCATATCGTGGTAAGGGAAGTTGTTTCGTTGGAAGGCTGTGATTTCCTCACATGCTGGCCCCTTTTATGCTATCCATAGTTTCAAATAAAATTTTGATCCTACTGGAGTTTCTGGTGGAGATCCCGTTTGTTTCAGTAGGATCCTGGTTTCTTTCTTTCTTTTTTTTTTTGTCTCCTTGCTGAGCTAATAGATTTGTTCTGTGTATTTTTATATCAGTGAGGGGTTTCCTGATCCTCAGGGTTTCCAAATTATGTTGCTGTCTGTCTCACTGATTTGTTTATGCAGACCCTTAAAAAAAATTATATATATTTAAAAAGTGTATAAATGGTATTCAACACTATAATATGAACTCCCAGCAAAAAGAATCTTCTCCAGCAGACAGAGAAGCTCAGAACAGTGCTACTTTAATTTCCAAAGGAAAATAGCTACCTGTAAGCTTTTAGAGGCAAGCAAATGTTCCATAGAGATCATGCATTTTAATCTTATACAGTGTTTGTTTTACTTAAAAAAAACTCCTGTTAAAATTAAGTTCCATCTGTTTTAAGGTCATCTGCAAAATCTGTAGCACATATAGGCATAGTGTATTTCCTGGTATCACAAGTGATCATGTTCAGAACACATTGTTATCCTTGTCAGTTTTCTTGCTCTGAAGTTTTCAGTTGACCAACATTCCTCTTTGGGATTTCATGTGTTGCTGCTCATTATTATAGCTTCCATTCCTGTCTTTCTCCATACATTCTACAGCTTTTACTTTTCCCATGCTGATGATTTCATTCCCTCTTCAATTTAGATTTGCTTGTTAAGGTCCCTGAGGAAGACCTCTAAACGCATATTCCTCTGATTGTAAAGATTTATTAGGAGAATCCAAATAAGTCCTGCATTATTAGCAGTGAAACCTTATTATGCTCCTTTCTCCTTTCTCACACCCTTGTGAAGTATCAAGCGTATGGGATGATCTTGGAAAATGTAGACATACAATAGAAAGGCATTGAAAGAAGCAGGCATGAAGCTGTGAAGCTACAGGATGTTAATGAGGAAGGTGGCTGGATGCTGCAAAAGACTGAGGACCTTTGGTGGTTCCTCTGTAAAGATAATAATTGCTTTTCAATATTTTTGAGAACAGCAGCAGAAGGGGATTCAAACAGGATCTCTATACTTAGAGGTCAACAGTTTTGTCCCATGTTGATTTTACCAAGCTGGCACGTGTGCAGGTGGGTGCACTGCCCTCCTTCACCATCCGCCTGCCTGAAGCACGTGGCTTTTCCACCAGTATTACCAGCTCATTCTGTTCCTGTCCTGCCAAGCTGTTTGTGCAACAACCACCACCAGCACGGCGTATTTCCTAAAGAAGCTTTCTGTAAATTCTTCATTGATAAATAATTATCTTGAGATGTGAAGGCTATTGCTACAGATTAGGTGGTTCTATCTGTATTACTTCTGAGTGGTAGCAGTACCTCAGAGTCAAGATAATAACGTAGGTGACTCCTAAAACCACCAAGTCCCGTTGAAGACGATGATGGGTATAAATGCATTCTTTGTTCAGTTCAAGAAAAAAGCACGCTGTAACCTAGTGTTGAACTATAGGTTCTAGTGCTTCAAGATGACAGCTATGCCAAGAAATGATTATGAGAAGAATTCCTGATTCAAGAGGATGTGTATAAAATATCCTCCAGCAAACACACGATTGAGTTCTATATTAAATTTCCACCCTAATGAGAATACAGAAAGTTTTTACAACGACTTTGTTCACAAATGCAGCTTTGGCAAAGTTCCTATTTCCTCCTCTTTCTGTTAAAGTGGGATGCATATCTTAGCAGAAATACTGAAGGACAAGACAGATTACAGTTACACTAATCAATGACTCAGCATCTATTTTGCTTCTGCTGTTTAACAGAAGGACTCTGATGCAGAAGATGCTGTAGAACAGTTATTTCTCGTTGTTGTGGCTATTGATTTTGGCACAACATCCAGTGGCTACGCCTACAGCTTCACCAAGGAGCCGGAATGTATTCATGTAATGAGGTAAGAGCTGCAATGCAGCATTTGGTTTTGGATTGCCATCTGCAGCTATCTGTGCAGTTGCTATAGCTGTGTCCTGCAGTACCTTGAAGTGACCAGGTTTATCTAGTGTTGTAACAATGTACACTTCTGTCAGGGCTATAATTTTCTGTTATTTCTTGCTTAAATCAATACAATGTGATGTATTTCTTTCCCTTCGCAGTTCTGATATATGTAAGTCTAATGCAACCACAAATGCAGAAAATGTTATTGGAGGTATCTAAAGGGGATGTGCCACAATCCCTTTCTGTAGTGTATCTGATATTTTTTTCAGACCTTTTAATGACTAAAAGCCTATATGATTTTTATTAAAGTATCTTTGAATTGCCTATATTGTAACAAGGCCAAGATACAGATAATTTCAGGCATGAGAAAGGTATATATGAACTTAGGCACAGAAGTTATTAAAAAAACAACACCTGCTCTAAGGAAAGGGCAAAAAGACAAACTTGCTGAAGTCCAGTATGATATACTGTAATTTTTCTGAGTGCAGCTGCTAGCTGAATGCCAGTCTTTAAATCCCAGCAGACAGAATTCATTGTGCAGTCAGCCTGCACGGTCACCTTCTGTGTGGTTGCATTGTATTTTAGAGAGATCTGACACATCTGGGTGATGGGAAATGCTATCTAAAGAGAGGGGAACTCAGGAATGGTAGTAGGCTGTACAGTGACAGAGATGCCTGCCATTTTTGATAAGGATGAGTAATGCTTTAAGGCCTCTTTTGCATTCAGTCCACCTGACGTTCTGCTGATGGCACAGGGAGCTGCCTGGTGCTGGAAGTCAGAGGAGAGACCACATGTTGCTGCCAGGTTACAGGGTGGTGGGGTCACAACCCATGCATACCATCTCCAGAGCTGTAGCTGAGCAATCCTCAATCTTATGTATCATGTTGTTTCTGTGACTTTTGTGGCTACATTATGATGCATAACAACTTCTGCTTTTATGAATGTCCCTCGAACCCTTTGGATACAGGATTTTAGCTGTTGACTGAAATGTTGAAAGGTAGGTGCTTTATGGACAGCACATGTGTTTCAAATCTTAACTGGCATTTTACTTTGTACAGCTTGAAACACTATTTGTTTCTCATGTGATAACAAGAGTGTGGTTGTGATTTCAGACTTGTATAGGTATTATTTGAGATCCTGATTTGAAAATAAATAAACTGATTTGTCTGTTTCAACCAGAAAGGAGAAATGTGTCTTAGATGGGGAAAAACAATTATTCATATTTCCAATGGCTATTTCAAACAATTGAAAATATTTTGATAACAAAGTTGTATTATGTTTTTAGTTTTAAAAAGTATTGAAGGTGTACTGAGAAAGCTCATAAAATGTATTGCTGGTAGAGAAGGATTTGGGGTAACATACAGCAGATACTGAATTATGAAATGTACAGTAAAATAATACATATTTTAATAAATGTGAAATAATGAGATGCAATGAACAGAGCTGTGTTGGGTTAGAGTTAAGACTTCAGTGGTTCAAAAGGTACTAATAAGTTCCAGTACTTGGTATAATGATGGTTATATGTAGGATAATTTACAAACGTTTCTACAGAGTAAACATAAATTTCCCACCCATACTCAAGCATGTTTTCCTTAAAAATATCAAAGATATTTTATTGATATTCATATATCATTCATGTATGATATTTATAAAGATATTCACGGCCATCGTTGGCCATTCCTAACTTTGAAAAACTTATGGGATTTTGAAGGTGCAGGCTGTCTTTGGTAGAAGGGAGCATACGGTCTTTCTTCAGTATAACTTCAAGCTTCAGTCTTTTCTTTCTTTTCTTCCCTGTTTGACTATGATTCTTGGCAGACGTGTGCTTGCCTTTCTGCTGCATGCGTGCTCCTGGAGGCATCCAGCTCTGTGAGATGACCCTGCTGCTTTGCTTCCCTGTTATGCTGCAGCTCTGGATCAAATTCTCATCTCACTACAAGGAGTGCTCTTTTTTCCTCTGTTAGCTGGATTCCTGTGTAAGGAAGGGCATTTCTCTAACCTTAGCGTAACCTTATGATCCTTTCCACAGAAACTTTGCTTTGTCTCTTTTTCCTTTAATATACAGTCAGGTCTTGAGTGACTCTGAACTGGTTTGAGCAGCTCAACAGCACGCCAAAGCCCTGCTAGCCCGTATTAAGCAGAGTGAAGCTGGGCTTCCCCTTGAGAAATGCAGCAGTCAGGTTTGTGTGCACATGCCTCTGGCTGCAGCTGCTTCTTTCCAGAAAAGATGTCATGCTGGAATATTTCTAAAGCTCTGGCTGCAAATGGTGACGTCAGGCTTCCTGTTCTCTTGTCAGTAACACAGACTGAGAACTTCAGTACTTGCTGAGCAGTTACAGTGTCTGATTTTCATTAGCAGCACATCCAGAAATGAACACCTAACGCTCAGGATGGCAATGAAAATTTCAGCCCGTACTACGGAGCATGAGTTTGTTTTCATTTAAGTATTATAGGTATCTATTCCAGGAGAGAAAAATGTGCCTACCCATAAAGAGAGGTAAAGAGGCATTGTTATTAGGCAGCAGCTAAGTACACGTCCTATTTATGGAATTTCCCACCAGTGACTCACAATGAATCATTAATGATTCCAAGTGAACACGATAGCAGTTTGTCTCCTCTCTGTTGTGTGGGACGTAACGTTCTGGTGGAAGAGGCGGTGCTTTCTGCTTATGGGCTGTGGAACCCCTGCATATTAGCAGTGGAACCATATGTTTGCTGTAAGACATGCTCACTGGTGTTGGAGTTGCCCAGATATGTTCCAGCAGAGGTTTGCAAGCACTGCCCTGCAGCAGAGCCCTTCCCAGCTGACTGTAGGTGTGGGGCTGAGCAGCAGCACCAGTGAAGTTGAGCAAAATATTTCCGAGTGGGTGAAGGTGTTTCTGTTTTCAGATCAGTGGGATTGCTCTCCGTACTAGAAGATTCCCTGCCATCACTGCTGCTGGTTCAAAAAAGGGCACACTTTACTCTGTTTGATCCAGTTGCGTGGTCTTAAAGCTTCCCAGCAGTCTATAAGATCCTGTTTGCTTATTGCTTGGCCAAGATTGAATTTATCTGTGTCAATGGTCTGCCATGATCTTGAGGTCAGTTAATTTTCAGTTGATTCACCCGGTTCAAATGAAAAAAAAAAAAAAAATAGTACTTCTACATAATGTTCACATGTCACGTAAACAAGAACCACATAACAAAGCAATCATTTTGTACCTCAGAACAGGGACTTTGGCTGTAGTGTGTTATGACAGCATGTTTTTCTATCTTCAGAAAAAAGTAATCAACATATGTTTTAGTAATGAATGCAACTGCCTTTGTGATCTTGGCTCCTTTTTGAGCTGCACTGTGATGATAGCTGATAGCATAAAGCAGTTTTTCCACTGGTGCTTTTTTAGGATAATGTTGCCTGGTGTTTGTTTCCCATGCTGAAAGTACTTGTGTGTGGGGCAGGGGGAAACATTAACGACAGTTTCTTGTTCTTCCATTCTGCTTTTTTCATAATGGAGACGTCAGGCGAAAAGCAGAATGCTCACAGCTCTCTGTGATACAGTTCTTTATGATCTTGTTACTTGCCCTAATTTCCTTATTTGCCTAATTTCCTGTTACTTGCTCCTAAATTCCTAAATTCCTTCTCCATTTAACACAAAGTACAGAGGGTCTTCCCATATTCAGTGTTATTTATGTTATTTATTCTTATTTGATCTCTGAAACAAGTATTGTGTTATTTTCGTCTACTACCTTTGTGCCTAGCAAATCCTGCAGATGCCTGTGGGATCCTGATAAGATAGGATACTTATTTTCATGATTTTAGTGGATTGTTGTGAGGTTGAGGGAGTCTGCTTTATTTTTCACAGGTTTTTGTTGTTGTTTTTTTTTTTTAATCTAAAATTTTTACTACCGTTTAGAAGTTTAAAGGTAAATAAAGGTGAATAGAGTGTGCAACAAAGAGAACTCACACCTGCAGGCATTTCTTCAGTGCTTCTGGCATCCAAGAGGTGAAGCCCATGAGTGGGCTTTGGTTTGAGTGGCTTGTTGAGCATCATTGCTGAATCGTCTGAAATGAGACTTGCATTCCTCTCTTCTTGAATGTAAATAAGCCCATTTGTTTTGGTATTATAAGGATCAATGTAAACATATTCAGAGGGGTAAGCAGTAAGTGCAATATTCTACCACATTTTTTCTAAGAGTATCTGAATTTTTCTGCTGCTGTAAGCATTAATATCACTTATTGAAGCTCTTTCACTTGAACAGACGATGGGAAGGTGGAGATCCAGGTGTATCCAACCAGAAGACACCAACTACTATCCTCTTAACACCAGAAAGAAAGTTTCATAGCTTTGGGTACGCAGCGAGAGATTTCTACCATGACTTGGATCCCAGTGAATCGAAGCACTGGTTGTATTTTGAGAAGTTTAAGATGAAGCTACATACCACTAGTGTAAGTAATAACTAACACTCTTTAATAATTCTGTGTTTACAGCTCAGGTCATCTTGCTGTGGAGAGAGCTGTATATCATATATATATATATGTGTGTGTGTGTGTGTGTGTTTAGATCTGTTTCGAGAGTAAATAAAGTAAATGAAAATGTCAGTTAATATATTCCAATTCATTTTGCTTCTCGATGCGTTTGGCGAGTGTGTTTTGCTTGTATTCATTGTAGGTCTCAGAAGCTCAGTATCTGCATCCCTACTTTTCCTGGCTGAAATTCTTAGCTGTGCAGGGAATCTGCATGAGGTCAGTTTGTTTTGGAGAATTTATTCAGAGAGCAGAAATGGAATATAAGAAGCAGACTGATCTCGTATGCACAGGAACAAATTGGCCCAGAGTTCTTCGTAGTAATTGCAAGTGGAAATCATGTTGTTAATTTGACATTACTCCTAATAATTATATGTTGATCTTTCCACTAAACCATTCTAGATTTCTGGGGCCAGGCCAGTACTTTCTGCTTTGAGGTGGGTGTTTGTTGGTTTCATGTGTTGGTGGGAAGCCAAAAATGCGTGCTTTTAACTCTTGATTTGGATGAAATATCTTTCATATGCAGCTTGCAGCAATTAATTACAGATGCGTTTTATTGTAATTATTTAATACTTATTCTGTTTTACTCTCTCTGCCTGCAGTTATTTTTAGACGCAGTAGATGTTTAAAAACAAAGCTTAAAATAAACAGCAAATGTAAGAGTCCAGGAAATTCAATTGATGAGTTAGATCCTCTCCAGAACAATTTTGTCACTTTTTCCTAGCCAGGTGGATAAAGAAGAATTCCCTTTCCTCAGGCAGTGAGAATTCATCTTATGTTTACCTTTTCCTTTGAATAACTTCCAGTTATTTTCTTTCATGTAGAATCTTACCATGGAGACGGACCTGACAGCTGCAAATGGCAAAAAAGTCAAAGCACTTGAGATATTTGCTTACGCCCTGCAATTTTTTAAGGAACAGGCATTAAAGGTAGAATAATGCTTCCTTATCTAGATTCTCTGTATTTATCACTAGTATAAATGTGAGCATAACATTCCTAACCTTGCTGAGCTTTAACCTCAGTTGTATTTGATGTAAACAAAGCAAGGCAGCTGTAGAAACTCTAGGCAGGCTGTGCACTCTAAAAGAGCTCTCAGTAGTCCTGTGGTGATTTCCTCTTGCACAGGGGGAGCTTGGTTCAATAACAGTAATAAGTTCTGAGTATCTTCTGTAGGGGATAAAACTTCTCTGTTGTTGCGTTGCTTTTTTTGTTGTTGATTTGTTTTTATCATTAAAAATGTTGATTTGAAGTGAAATCTTAGAAGTGCAGGAGCTGCAGCTCATTGTTTCACTCAGTCTGCATTTTTAACTTGCAAAGAAGTAAATTTGAGACTGGATTCTGGTCTTGCCCCCCACGCTTCTGATGCTGGGACAATTCAATGTTGAGCATTCTCAAATTTCTCTCTCACGTTGAAGAGTAGCACCATGAAACACAACTGGTTGGGCACCTTCCAGTCTCTGCAGTCCCAATCTGACATTGTTTTAGTGACTGATCGTAGGGAAGTCAGGTGAGCCGGATTTATTTTGTGACAGGAAGATTATGAAAAGCTGATTCACAGTTTGGTGAGTTGAATTTTCAATGTCACTCTCCACAGTTATGACTTGCTAGTTAGCATGGTGGGAGCAGTATGATTTCACTATTGCAGTGATCTGTGTAGGCTACTTGGTGTGGCTAAGAGGTTCAGTATATTTCAGTATATTATATTATTTTAAGCTACTATTTCGGGTGTTGGTAGGGAACTGCAAAATATTCTGCATTTTCCATTTCCTGGTGAAATGTTACAATGCTCACTTGTAATCTTATCCTTGGGTCACGAGATTGAATTTGTTACTCTCTTGTGAAATACATGTCTCCAGTAAATAGTTTTTAGATTTAAGGTCTCATGTAAACAACCAGTTGTGAATTTAGTGTACATCAGTTTCAGATGTGCTACTGTATACAGCCAACATGTAGTAATTTCTAGGCCAAATCACAATCCTAAGCAGTGCTTGCATGAAATTAGCCCTGTTGATGTAAAGGTAACCTACTTTTCTGAATGGGATTAATTTATTCTGCCTTTATGGTCGTAAAGGAACAATCAAATCATTACTGCTCAAAATAATTATCTTTTCTAAGACTGTTGGAATTGTATTGAATAGTCAGTCACAGACTTGTACCCATGCATTCATTGCCTGGGGAAATGTTTAGTGAATATGAATCCCCCATAGTTGCTGTGCTGCCTGTTCTGGGCTGCATCCTTACTTGGTGTCAATATAACATCCCTGTGATTTGTGAGTTCATGCTGTTGCTTAGGACTATGATCTGTCCATACCGACTGCCCTGAGCAGTATAGAGGTCCTGCTTTTCTACCAGATTCTTAAACTGCAGTATAACTAAGCAAACGCAACACCTTGGCACAGCACACACAGAAACATATTTTACATTCTAAAGGCCTGTTGTTCACCTTTATGAAGCTTTCCCTGTTTGGATGGAGATTTAGATAGGACATATGGTAATGACATTTTACTTGGAACCTTTCCCAAAACATGTCAGTATATCACCTAATTTGCAAATGCAATACAGACTTTCCTCGTTTTAATGGGGAGGGGAAGAACAATAAAGTAACTAAACTACTCCTCAGTGCTTGCTTAAAGTAAAATTTTCAAGGAGCAATCACTTGATTTTTTTTTTCTTTTAAGACTTCAGCTGTAACTTTGCCTTGTTAACCGAGTTGTAAAAGTTTAATTCACGTGTGAGTGCTTTATAAAGGAGTCATTGAAAAATCTGGATTGTAAAACTTAATGTTCATCAATGCTTCTGATATTTTTCTGTGTATTAATCCAGATGTAAGCATGAATTCTTCAAACTAGCTGCAAATCCCCCACTATGACTACGAGTATACGTAAACATTCTCTAGTATTCAGCAGTGCACATGCTGCTTTTGGAAAAAGTAACTTTTCTATTTCATGTTAAGTAGTAAACTTTTCTGTGGGCCTCCTTCAGAAAGTGTCAGCCCTAATCCTAGCTGTTGGCACAGTGAAGCATTCTTGAAAGGTTGGTAATAATTTAAATATTTGGATTTGTAGCATAGGTGTAGCAGAAAAAGGATTGAAAAGAGTTTCTGTTGCTGGAACCTGCAGAAAATATTTTCTTACCAAGTTGACGCCCATCAGTTTACATTCACCTCTGTTTCTCTTTATTTAGGAGCTCAGTGACCAAGCAGGTTCAGACTTTGAAAATACTGAAGTAAGATGGGTTATTACAGTGCCTGCTATTTGGAAGCAGCCTGCGAAGCAGTTTATGAGACAAGCTGCCTACAAGGTAAGGTTACAGAGTGAGCTTAAAAATACCCTTTAAAGCCTTACTTGATAGGCTAAATGTTAAACTGTATTTGGGACAATTAGCATGAATATAAAAAACATAAACTAGTCAGGAAAAACAGTTGGGCTAGAAACATTGAAAGAGAATTTAGCTCAACAAAGCAGTGGCTTCACACCATATGTATTCACATTTTAAATGCCTTTTTATGTATTTGCTTTTGTGTATTGGTGTCCCTCACTGCAGACTGATATTTTAGTCATCTTGTACCTGATATTCCTGCTGAATTTAGTGCACGTGGAACAGATGCAGTTTTGAGACCAAAGAGAAAGCTGATGTAAAACAGTGGACATAGTTTTGTTTTGTTAATTTCTTTAGGTCATCACAGGCTTTTTTCAAATAAGGAAAAAATAAGGAAGAGTAGGGAAAGCTTAGACCCTCCACAGTAGGGACTTCTTTTTTCTGTTCCCATTTTCCCACAGTAGGAATGAAAAGACCATGTCCAGATAGTCTGGACATAAAATTAAATAAAAATGTTATTTTCACCAGTAGGAGTTTATCAGCATTTGACCCTTTCCCCTCCCCTCTAAGCCCCCACAGTCATGCATATTCCATATCGCATTTGCTTTATTTCAAATTCAGTTTCTGTCTCTGATAGACTCGATGCGTGCATTCTTCTTTTCATCAAGATACTCACGTTGCATTTTATTTTACTTATTTTCTGTCACAGACTTGCATAACCCATTGGCAGCAGATACGTCATGTGTGGTTTGTGAAACATGTAGCAGTTTGTGTGTAATTTGCAGAGTGCTCCTGGAAAGCACCCGGAATTTTTTTAACTGTTCCTGACTATCTCTAATGTTGAGCAACATTTTTCTTAACAGTCTTTATTGTGGGATTGCTAATGCTAGTGCCAGAAGCAAAACATTCTTAAAGTTCTGATGGAAGGACACGGTTGTAGGTAAATCTGAAACACTAGAGACCCATTCATTATCTCTGTATATTGTTGTCTGCCTGCTGTCTGTGTGCATGTGTGCTCGTAAAACGGGAGCTGTGTAAGGAGCAGGGCAGAGAGAGGTAGATCTCTTGGCATTTCTCATTTGTGGCACAATGGAATGTTGTTGATTAGTGTCTGTGTCTGTGGTTTTGTCTGTGATTGTGTTCTTCTATTGGCAAGCTTGATAAATAGCAAGGCCTGACAAGGCCTTTAACTCAGGGTGTGTGATCATTTACAGGGAAAAAAAAGCATCTAGGGAAGTAATTGTATGTTTACTTGACACAGTTGATATTTATAGGAAAGGGGACAAAGACAGAAATGCAGAAAACTGAGAGTTCTACTTTAGCATTCAGTCTTCAGATTCCTATTGCAGGATCCAGCATGTGTTTCAAACCAGTGCATGCTGACAGAGCAGAAGTTCCAGCCCTTGGTGTTAGCTATCGAAGCACACAAGTGTCATGAAAGTAAGAGCTTGTGTTCATGAGAGTAATTGGAGCACTGAGTAGAGAACAGCGTTGAAAAGGCAGTGGTAGAAACCTTGTTGCTGAAAACATGCTGAGGTACAATTGCTTCTTGATAGTGGGAAATGAAATGAGGTGTGGGCAATTGCTTGGGTAATCTGTGGCAAGTGATGTAACTCTGAGAGAACAAAAATACTGATGACTTCAGTCTTTAGTTCCCAGTGCTACCAAAATGCTACGTGGTTGTTAGGCAAATCTAAATATTACATGGAGTTACGAAGGTCAAGTACAGTGGTGTAGGTCTGCTTCTGCTCTCAACATCTATCAGCTGTTGTCCGGCCTGCAATCTCAGTGCATTTCTGACATCCACTCATCATTGTCTTGCCTTAAACAAAACACTTCCTGGAACTGTTAGTCTGTTTGAGGGCTCCCACAGCTCTCCCTTCCAGATGCTGTGCTGTTTTGTCATTCCAAGGTATAATCTGGGTGTTCCTTTCAGCTCACAATTCTTCCTCTGACCTGCCATCCAGCCTACCAAAGTCTTGCTAATTCTACCTGCATAACAGCTTTTCATGTCTGTGCGTAATTCTGAGCTCTCATCGAAGTTGTCACTGATTTTGTATCTCAGTTATTGCAACATCATTTTCGTGGCTTTGGCAACTGTAATCGGCCTCTTTTGCATCCCTTTAGAATGCTGCCACTAACGGGTTTTGTCACTTCACGTTTGACAGGGAGTCAACCTGCATTTGCCTCCTTCACCTGTGTCATTTCAGACATAAGCTGCATGTCCTGGCCACAAGTGTCTATAATGCTAGCTCATTTTCCTCCTCCGAAACCCTCTCTAAAATGCATATTCTGTCACGCCTACAAAAATGTGACAGTGAGTGAACTACTGAGATGGGAAAACTGCTCTGCACTGCTTCTTGCTGTTACCCTGCCTGCGCTATTTGTATTCATCTGTTGTACTTTTCATATTCTTAACTCCTTTTCTTCATACTTGAATTGCTACCTCTGCGAAGCAGACATTTATTCTCATTTGTTTTGCTCTCTGGGACCTCTCAAAAGATTAAGTTTGGTAGGCTGTAGAGATCTTCATGTCTTTACAGCCTCACTTTGTGAATTGAAGTAGCTTTGTTTCTGGATAATAGTCCACAGACACTTCTTGCTGTTCTGTGCATCCAGAAAGCTCTAAAGCCGTGTGACTGCTGTTGAGGTCTGGTCACGCCGGGAGAGAGCTCTGTGGCAAGAGTGGAGCATGTCATCTCTGTAGGATCCTAAAGCATGTCTGCAGATTTTAGGGTTCATTGCATCTGACTCTTAGGATGCATCAGTCAGGTTTCCCATTGTCCTCACCATGAAATACATAGGGCATCATAAACAGTGTTCACTTTCCTTGTTTCTGTATTCTAGTTCTTCTGTTGCAAATACTTTGCTTTACTGTAGTCTGTCAGAAGCTGTGAGTTTACCAGTCTTAGAAGGATTCCCATTCTCCTGAAGAATTTGCATTGTGAGAAATTAATCCTAATGACTGAAATGCTTTCTTATTTTGGTGAGTTTGGCAGTGTGGTCCAGTTGGATAGCATGTGGGAGGACTCCATCCCACTCACCCAGCTGGGACCTGCTCTTATTCTTGTTCTCAAAGAAGGAGGGACTGCCAAATGCATCGCGCCGTGCTGTGGCAGAGGTTTAGACCTCACCATGGAAGAGAGCTTAGGCAGGCCGCTTCCTGCTTATGAACATTCAGCCTTAGTAGTGAATATGGACACAAAGCCAGGATCCCACCTGCGTGTCATCTGAGGTCTTATGGACACAAGAGAATTCAGTGTTCTGTTGGTCCTGGATTACTGATGGTCAAAAATAAGTGTCTGCTAGTGGGAAGATGAAACTCTGAAAGTATTCAAGACCACTTGTATAGAAATCTGTGGAATGCTGGTAGGTGGGAATATTTGGTTCAGTCTTAACAGCACTTTGTTGTCTTAACATATTACTTACTATAAGCAGCAAATTTAATCCCTTTTCCAAATGAAATTCAGGCACTGTGGATTGTTTATCAGAGGGACACAAGATCCGATATTCTTGGCAGAGTCTTTCTTTTTAGTGAAGGCATTCTTACAGCTCGTGTTTCAATACAAATTCTTCAGACACAGCAAGCATGGAGCAGAATCTACAGACCGGAATTTCTTTGATGTGCCAATAGAAATAAAGTTTTAAGGGAGAATTTGGAGTTTGAGAGAATTATGCTGGTGCAGAAGCTGTAAAATAGAAAAGCAAAATATGGTATATCAAATGCACTCAGGGCAGACCAAGGGAAAGGGAAAGATGATGCTTTTTCATAAGCTTTCCTGAAATACTTATAGTCTTACAAACATCGGTCTGTTGGTTTACTCAGAGATAATTTAGCATCTTTTCTTCCACTATGAGCTGTTGGTTTTGAAATGAAGTTTCAGGGCTCTTAAGTAGATTTATATTCCAATTACAAATAGCAAATAAAATTGTTTGCGTGTTAAGCTTGTATAAACAAACAGGCAATCTAGATTGTAGGATTAATTGTGTGAGCCTGGAATTGTAGGGGATTTTTTTTAACTGGCTCTTACACTGAATATTTATTGGTGTCAATGTGGAATGAACATGATGAGAATTATTATCACATTGTCTTTTGGCTTACATTACATTGCGCTGATCAGTACTAGCTTGCTCTGTAGGAATCTTCTTAGAAGAGTAAACAAATCTGTAAAGAGAGTAACTTGGTGGCACAGAATCTCTCACCAGTATAAGTGTGAATACCTTGGAATGTAGCAATAAATAGCGAAGCTTGAAAGAGTTTTAAATGGATTATATCATATCAAAAAGAGATGCTACAGGGAAAACAAAAACAAACAACCAAAAAAAACAACAACACAAAACCACTCCTTCCAACTGCAAAGCGAGATTTTAGGATTTTAGGAGGGGCAGTGGGAACAGTGAGCAATATGGAGAATATTGCAACACCTTTTTCCTGTGTATAAATCCCACAGCCTTGTTTAGATCGTGAGCCTATGACTGATGTGGCCTCAAAAGGATATTACTGAACAAGAATAGATTCAGAACAGAATAGTTCTGCCAGTACACCTGGAAAGTGTGAGAACTATGTGAGAACTCAAAAACCACTCTCAGAAAAGACTGGTACTGTTAAGATTAAAACGGAAATGTGCTATATGCAGAAACCCAGAAACATTTTGCATTTTAATCTCCAACCAGTGTTTTGTGTACCATTAATTAATATTGTCCTTGTGCACAACTTCAAGCAAAAAATATTTTGCTAAAATAGCAGGAAATCTGTTAAAGGCAACAATTTTCTTCCAGATGAAAATGTAGCAGTTGCTTATTACAAACAGTTGGGTGCTGAGCACTTCTGCAAGAGCTGATACTCAGGCTGAGCTCAATATGTATACTGTCATATTTTGTGAACAGGCTGCGAGTCTTCGAGTATCAGGATTTAATCAGCATCCAAACATAATGTCCACAGTGAGCTTTGATGCAGACAACAGTGTCAAGATGGTCCTGTG